CCATACACTAGTTGAAAAATCACTTGAATGGGCTTTAAAAAAAATTAACACATGGTTGTAAGAGCAAACGATATTGTCATCTCATAATGACCGAATTTCTAACAATAAATTGTTCAGGGGACATAAATTACTGATTTTTATTGCTTCTGGGCTACATATGCTCAGTACCAACAGTTTGATTTTTAACAGGAGAGACTCACATTAACCTTCCAATTTATCTTCTGTTCAGCAGAAGTTTTCCAAACTTTTCTCATTACTCCTAATTACTTAAGGAACCCTTAGCAATCTAGAGAACCTCAGAGTACCATGGGACCAACCCTGGGTGAGGAAGACCCCTGCATGGTGGTATTAAACCCAGGACCCTGCATTCACTTTATCCGGTCTCCCCGGACCCTGCATTCACTCTATCCGCTCTCCCCGGACCCTGCATTCACTCTATCCGCTCTCCCCGGACCCTGCATTCACTCTATCCGCTCTCCCCGGACCCTCCATTCACTCTATCCGCTCTCCCCAAACCCCCCATTCACTCCTTCTGGTCTCCCAGGACCCAGCCTTCACTATATCTGATCTCCCAGGACCCTGCATTCACTATATCTGATCTCCTACAGTACACAGAACATGGAAATGTAATTATTTTAGTAAATATAAACTGCTTAATACCTTTTCTCATCAGAAGTCACAAAACTGCTCTGACTGCTATCAATGCCCAGCAGAGCACTGGTTAAAGCTTGTCAGAGGAGTTTTCATTCTGCTCTGGAGGATGTAGAACCCCTGATTTCTCTCTGGACAGTGCTGATTGGCCCTGTGCTGAAAACATACACCCTCCCAAAAAAAAAAAACCAAAAACCCACTCTCGCAATACACACCAAACTGAGCACGTGCAGAGTGACTTCACACACGTCTTATCAGGAGATAGGGGGACACTGGAAGAAGGGGAGGGTCAGAGAAGTCGGGATCAAACTGCCTTTCTACAAAATGCAGAGAATTAACCCCTTAGGTTCCACAGTGTATATGCAGTAAAGCATGCTTGTTATACTCAGTGATTTTACTGTTGTGGGTTTAGTAACACTTTAGCAGGCTGGTATTTTAGTAAGCCACGCTTAGTTGTTCCTGTAGATTTAAGAAATAGGTAATCACTCTATAAAAGACAATACTGAACATCACACATGGGTACAGAGCAATGTTCATGCTTTATCCTTTCACCAAATCACACTTTTTTTTTTCAGAGAAACTGATGATTTTTTTAATGCTCTTCAAAATAGTTCAAACATTAATATATCTATATATACTGTATATATAACAACATTCTCTTGTATATATAATAACATTCTCTTGTAAACAAGTTTACATCTTGGAAATGACAGTTGTGCATTTTTTTTAAATTAACGAAAAAAAAAAAAATTTTTTGCCTGACAGTTGGCACTTCAACTTTCTTAGTTCCATCCTAAAAACCTGAGCATTTAAATATATCAAAAACACCACCAACAGCTTTGCTGTAGTCAGCTCCGTCCAAAAAGTACAGCAAAAAAAATAAAGAAGAGAAAACAATACATTTGTCACAAAATACAAAAAAAAGGACTTAAGAAAAGAATCAACTCACCTCTGAAGTCAAGCTCGGTAATAAAGGTTGCAGATTTCCGCTGGTCAGCACTGATTCTACTAAATGGCTATGTTCTCTCCTGCATGATACCGCTCCTCTACCTCTCATTGTCAGAAATTTACATTAGATAGCTTAGATTTAGCAGGTCACCTGGTTTACAACATTAAGAATCCGTCAGTACTGTATTGTCTAAGCAACTGCAGGAATATCTTTACTCTATAACGTGATTTTTGGAGAATGTCACCTGTGGAATTCTGTCCCTCTTCTCTGATGTTGCCATTATGAAAATGAGCTGCTGGGAGGGTTTAAAAGAAACATGTGCCCACAGAAATATGGAGGCTGCTATAGCTGGCAAAGGTTTCTTTTAAAAAAATAAAAGCTGTGCAGACAGCTAAATACATTGTACAAAACATAGAAGAGTGGCTGTATAGAATTACAACATTTTTATGATTCATATCTGGCACACCTAGGCAGCTGATGCGCTTATTTCCTGGTCCAGCAATGCAGCTTTGTCACCATTCCAACCACAGCCAACTTTATGGACCACCAATACCATTACCTCTGCAATTAACAGTGAACAGGTCCAATGTGGAAGAGGTCTGCAAGTCAGAGACGTGGCAGGTAAAACAAACAAATCCACATTTCAATTATGTATTTAGTGGTTTGCCTGGAGTTGTACGTCATTATTCCTAACCTGTACTCACATGCATTGCGAAGATTTACTAAAACTAGAGCACTCAGAATCTGGTGCAGCTGTGCATGGTAGCCAATCAGCTTCTAACTTCAGCTTGTCCAATTAAGCTTTAGCAATAAAACTTGGAAGCGGATTGGTTTCTATGCAGAGCTGCACCAACTTTGCACCATGCACTTTTAGTAAATCCCACTATGTTTGCCTTTGACCTCGGGTGTCAAACTGGCGGCCCTCCAGCTTTTGCCAAACTACAAGTCCCTTGAAGCATTGCAAGATTGACAGTTACAAGCATGACTCCCAAAGGCAGAGGCATGATGGGACATGTATTTTGGCAACAGCTGGAGGGCTGCCAGTTTGACACCCCTGCCTTAGACTGTGATGAAGAGTGGGAATACAATGTCAAAAATGACTCCCTGAGTAATGATCATGATACACTGACAGGTGGACAGTTTGTGAAATATGCAAAAAAAAAAAAAAAAAAAAAAAAAAAAAAAAAAAAAGAATTCTTCACTAAACATCTCAACAATTACACAATTACAAAGAGAGAGGCTGTCAATGTTACTTGAAATATAGTTCCCTTTAATATGGGCTGCTCTGAGTAGGCTGACAGGAACACCTCAAGGCATGTAAGGATTGTCAGAGATCGGATTGCCCTAGCACTGAATATCTGTTAGGACTAGAACACATGGGCACTCTTATGTTTAATCCGCAGCATCTACGTTTCCCAGAAGGTGAGCAGGACACTGGAACCATGCAATTCAGGGTCCTTTCATATTATGGGGAGAACACCTACAAGTTATACATGGCTGTTTGTGCCAAGGATCTAAGCGCTGCCTAGCAGCTGGGGTGCTCTTTGGAGGATATAAAATGTCTCCATTAAGACCCTTTGGTTTCTATGTGGAGCTGCACCAGATTTTGCACTCTTCAGTTTTCGTAAATCAACCCCAATCAGCTTCCAAATTTTATTGGCAAAGCTTAATTGAACAAGCTGATTGCCTACCATGCACAGCTGCACCAGATTCTGAGTACCAGCTTTAGTAAATCTAGTTACTATGAATGGTAAAGCGCTGCCCCTAAATTCCAATCTGGTGAAAGTGTAATATGTGATAAATGTTCTACAAAAAATGACAAACAAAAATGTGCATAAAATTAGAAGTGCAAATGAGTACTATAATACACCTCCCCCATTGGAGCATCAATATCTCTCCACTGGTAAACCGGTGTAATCACTTAATATGTGTATTCCCTATATTGGGAAAGTTCAACATTGCAACTGCCCCCCAAACAGAGCTGCACTGCAATGCACCTTCTTCCTATAGCATACAGGTAACGTGTGAATGTGTCAAACCTCAAATAAATATGCACTACCCTAAATCACACAATAATATATCAATAAATACTAGTGGAGAGATATGGATGCACATAGGGGAAGGTGTATTATAGTACTCATTTGCACTCATAATTTTCTGCACATATTTAGAACATTTATTGCACGTGACACTTTCACCAGATTGGAATTTAGGGGTAGCGCTTTTTAATTGGTCTTACAAATTCTTAGAGTTGTGTTAGCGGCTAGCCTTCTTCTAATTTTTTAGTAAATCTAGCCCCAAATGTCACTCACAGTCACAATTCAGATGCAAACTGAAACAACTGCTATGGAATTGGTGAGTGGGCAAAACAGCCCACGTACAATATACTTATTTAGCGGAGTTATGCCCACTGAGGGGTGGATTTACTAAAGGAAAATAGACTGTACAATTTGCAAGTGCTGTTGCTCCAGCGCTTAGTAAATGAGAATTAAATTTTTTTTTTTTAAAGAATTTTCCTTGCACGTTATTAGGTATTCTTTGCAAAGTGAAGCTTCATCTCATTTACTATGCTCTGGAGCACATGAATTTCATATTATAGCACTAGTATAATATACTAGTATTTTTGCCTTTAGTACATCAACCCCTATGTGTTGAGAAGAACCGGTACAAAACAAAGTGCCCCTGTATTCTAGGACTTACCACTATCTGGAGGAAACTGGCATATTTCTTTCTGAACAACAAAACACGGCACTATAGGATATAGAGAGACCACTACATCGACGTGTTTAAAACTTACATGTAATAGTTATTTGGCTGGAAAGAAACAAACAAACATTCACATATGCCAACTGCACTGGAAACAGAAATGTCTACAAGCCACTTCACCTAAATACATGAAACCCCTTTAGGTGAAATTTAGGAGCCTTTCTGGCACAGATTGATGAAAGGCAGAACAATCCAGAATTTATTTGGCAATATGGTGATTAGAGAAGTGAAGTACAGCATGCCCACATGGAGCAGAGAAGTCCAATAGAGCATGCTTGCTCTTTGCACAATGTTACTAAAAGAAGCCTTCAATGGTTTTCCAAGCATTCATAAAGAACTACTGGTGGCTTCATGTATGAAGGTGAAATGAGGACCTCCAGCCATAACCACCGAGCACCTCTTCATGTCTGTAGTGCAGAATAAAATGATTGGAGCAAATATCTGATTGCTGTGGATGGCAGAGATCGCAAGTCTTTCAGAGCCTACTATATCTGTGTGGTTAGGAGTCTATTGTAACTGCCCAGTTTTAGATCGGGGATATAGAAATTATGCTTTTATTGTAACTGCACAGAAAAAACCTCCATACATAGAAGAAACACCATTTACAACAACTATGATAGTGGGACATTGTGTGTCAGGGCTCTGTTGGGCTCTCCCCCCCTTCTGTCAGAGTTTTGAAGTCAATGGAGAGAGCTTGCTCTTCCGGTAATGGCGGTCGCCTCCACTCCTCCCGGGTAAGGATGTAGCCATCACCAGCCCAAATGCTACAAGCAGCAATCCTAATACATTGATAAGGACACCTTCTGATGGCAGATGAGAGTATTGATCTCTGAAAAAATAATAATGGGCGATTAATAATTCCCCAAACAGGTAAACTTCCATGCAGCACATATTTACTGTGTATGTAGATCATTCCATTTCCAGTAATATCAACATTCTGTTATCGGCTCTCATTTCAAGGTTCTAGTCCTGAAGGCAGAGCTGAAATATTGGGATCCACCTCATTGAAAAAGGTCCTTATTTTTATAAAAAATGTCCCCGTAAAAGAAGAAAGCGAAGACCTACCTCTCTGATCAGGTGAGGTCTGTGCAGAAAGCAAAACTTAGAGTATTGATCTTCTGTGTCCCCAGAAGGGCTCAGTGGTCCTCCCTAAATGAGCCTTTTGCTGACATCACTGATCAGAGGGAGAGAAGATTGACACTCCCAGAAGTGTTGGTTTCTGCACAGACTCGCCTTGATCATAATGGCATGAGGAAAGTATTCACTTTCTTACTCTAGGGCAGCTTTCATCCAGCCTTTCAATTTAGCCAGAACTGGGCTTCAAAGTGACCGTGTCAGCAAAAGGTTGTTTATGTGCTCTGTCTGCCAGAAGAAAGAGTTAACCAGACTTGTTTCAAAAACGAATTATACATTTATAAAATACACATAATGTCAAACCAATGATAACAGGAAATGCAAATACATGTGTATAGGATTATTCCATTATATTGAGTACACCAACTAAAAATATCCAAAGCGGATAGACTCTACAAACTTATTTTCCTGGCGACATTCATCTACCAAATATTTTGTGTAGAATGATCTTTCTACATTCTCTCCCAGGCAAATGAAGGTTCAATATGAAATAGAATTTTTTTTCACATTGCTGTATTATGTCTTTGGATAGTTATAGACTGAGTTTATCTAACAGTTGTTGAAGCTAAAGTTTAGTTATGGATGTTTTTAATAGTACATTGCTCCAGCTTTGACCAGTGGAAGTATGTATGTGCCATGAATATGAAACACTGCTTCAGGTCGGTCCACAATTAAACACTACTAAGCCGGAAACACCTCCCTTCTCTTGCTGCAACTCTGTGAATGTCATTTTATACTAATAAAATAACATACATATACACCTGGACACAGGTGTATAAAATCAAGCTCCTGAGCATGCAGACTGCTTCTGCAAACATTTGTGAAAGAATGGGTCGCTCTCAGGAGCTCAGTGACACCAAGCGTGGTCCCGTGATAGGTTGTCACCTGTGCAATAAGTCCATCCGTGACATTTCCTGGCTACTAAATATTCCACGGTCAACTGTTAGTGGGATTATAACAAAGTGGAAGCAACTGGGAACAACAGCAACTCAGCCATGAAGTGGTAGGCCATGTAAAGTGACAGAGTGGAATCAGCACATGCTTCTGAAGCGCACAGTGCGCAGAAGTCGCCAACTGTCTGCAGAGTCAATAGCTAAAGACCTCCAAACTTGGTGTGGCCTTCAGATTAGCACAACAGTGCATAGAGAGCTTCATGGAATGGGTTTCCATGGCCGAGCAGCTGCATCCAAGCCTTCCATCACCAAGTGCAATGCAAAGCGTCAGATGCCGTGGTGTAAAGCACACCGCCACTGGACTCTGGAGCAGTCATGCTTCTCTGGCAATCTGATGGATGTGTCTGGGTTTGGCAGTTGCCAGGAGAATGGTACTTGCCTGACTGCACTGTGCCAAGTGTAAAGTTTGGTGGAGGGGAATTCTGGTGTGGGGTGGTTTTTCAGAGGTTGGACTTGGCCCCTTTGTTCCAGTGAAGGGAACTCTTAAGGTGTCAGCAAGACATTTTGGACAATTTCATGCTCCCAACTTTGTGAGAACAGTTTGGGGATGGCTTCTTCCTGTTCCAACATGACTGCGCACCAGTGCACAAAGCAAGGTCCATAAAGACATGGAGGAGCGAGTTTGGGGTGGAGGAACTTGACTGGCCTGCAGAGTCCTGACCTCAACCCCATAGAACACCTTTGGGATGAATTAGAGTGGAGACTGCGAGCCAGGCCTTCTAGTCCGACATCAGTGCCTGACCTCACATATGCACTGACCACACAAATTGGATGAGATGGAGATTGTGACATCACTGCCCAGCCTCTCCACCTTGTCCAAATCATAGAATGCTTTGCCTTCATCAAGTGAAGGCAAAGTTTTCCCTAAATGGCAGGGGACCCAGAATGTAGTGGCGATTATTGTAATAGCAGTGCCTAGTACAGAGATTTCCAGCTTCCACATAGGTATAGCATATACATACTTACATCGGTGCAAGCTGGATCAATATAACTATGAAAAAAATGAAATACTTAATGTTCAGCTCTAAAAGACACTTGTCATAAGGGAAAACATGAGGGCTGCAACTGCTGACTTTATCTGGAAAGCCAAACTGTCCGTGAGATAAGTAACAGAGTTATAGAAGCAGCAAGTGAAGTGCACAGTCCTGATCTTCATACTTGTGCTTGGGTCCATGATTTAGAGAGTACTAAAAGTCAGAAGGTCAGGTAATGAGTGAGAGGTCCACAATGGCAGCCTACATATTTCTCCCATGGTAGAAGTCTTTTAATTGCTGATCACATTGCTGGTATACAAGTGACCACTAGGAGGAGCTTTTGTATTTAAAATAAAATATGGAACACCATATAAGAGCGTTTAAAGGCCGAAGTTATAATCAAAATGTATGAAAATCTGTCTGAAAATACAGTAAGGTTTTATTTTAATGGACGTTATAGAAGTCACCTTTTGAACAACCAGAATCCCCCTCCCCCAGCAATCTAGTGGACTACATCCACTGACTTCAGAGAAGATGATGTTAGCCCCTCTTATGCAGAGAACAGGCCAACCTTACACAGATCATTTGTACAGAAGAGAAGGAGACTGTACTCATAGTATCTGCACTGGTGCATTTTCTTACACACATTTACTAAATCAAATCCAATTCCACCAATTGCACTCACTGCGAAAAAGAAGATATTGGCAGAATCAGTTACTCTGCAGGCAGCCAGAGAATCTCAGAGGTGAACTGAAATGCTCTGCAGGCCTCATTTATTGGGTTTTCTATGACAACTGTCTGTATTGCCTCATATCAACCAGTCAGATTCAAGTTTTCATTTCCTAGCTTTTAATTTTTACTTCTAGCTGAAATAGGACTGTTTGCATTGAACGAATACAAACAGGTAATAAAGACCATGTACAAGAGCTGGAGACCAGTGCAACGTATATGTGAACTGATTCAGCATGAAATACACAGAATGTGAGACCCCGAGACCAGCACCAACATACCCGGTTCTGACCTACAAAGACAGAATATACTCACGGGATTGAGAAGAGCACTTTCTCTGTAAGGCCGAGCAGGCACGTAGAAATCGAGGTCACTAGGAGTCCCATACCAAAGAATGCGTGTAAAGGCTTAACACGACTTTTGTATGCATAGGATACTCCAGGAACGAAGAACATGATAAAGCCAATTATCCACTAGAAAAAAAAACAAAAAGGAATACAGCGGGGTTAAACAATATAAGTCATGAGTGGTGAGGTCAGCCTGTACAGGCAGCAGGCTAATGAGCCACACAAAAGTAATACACAATTCCCAATAATAAAGGCTCATCTTCCCTCTCTCAGTTTCCAACGACAGCTGTCAACATAAATAAGCAATTTATCAAGACAAAATTAGAGTTGTTGATTGATTCTGCCAGCCAGTAGATAAAAGAAGCAGCAAGTTAAACAGGACATTTACTTTCCAGAAAATGAATAATGTTTGTCTCCCTGTTTTACATTTATCAGATTCAAGATCATGTTTCTGCTGCCTCTGTGGAATTTATTTAGGCATTTATACTTGCTCACAGCTTTCGTATGAAACAGCATAAAGCATTGCTACCCTAAGTTCTACTTCATAGCTGCATTGTATACATGCACTGCACTGATGAGGACCAACAAGCCTCGAACAGCTTGATGTAGTTTGGAGTGAATGGCTCTGTATGGCTTTATCTGAACTTCAAACCGGCAGATCTAGATGCTCAGTTGGTCTGTGGCATAAAGGAACGGTTTTCATTGCTCCGCTCAGTATTTGAAGGCTTCCTTATACTTTGTACTGGTTTAGTGGAGGGCTTTTTGGTTCCTTTTAGCCCACATGACCAAATCTTCATACTTTCTCTTGTGAAAACTGCATAAAAAGTATGTCCTGGTATAGTCCCAGAGACCTTACATGGCTATACATTTCGGTTTCAGGCTTAATCGATGGTTTCCAGCAAAGGGTGCTCTCCCAGCTACTGCACGCTGAGGTCTATTTGAACTCTCAATGTACAAATACTTCCTGATAAGGATCTGTGTCTGCTGAGGCTTGGAGAAGGAGGTGTAGTAAAGTGAGCATCTGATTTGTAGATCCTGCAGTAGTAGAGTGTTGTACTGCGTTACCCAATTAATAATGCAGAAAAGCTGGAGTTTGATATCTTTATTAAGGTACAAGCTTTCAGGATGCCTTAGATGCCTTCTTCAGGGTTTGAAATAAAATATAAAATGCCATGTTATATAAAGCCTGAAGAAGGAACCTAAGGCACCTCGAAAGCTTGCATCTTTAATAACGTAAAATTAGTATTAAACGTATAAATATTCTATGCATGAAGTTAAAAAAACTTCTGTGTGTAGCAGCCCCCCCCCCCTCCCATCACTTACCTGAGCCCCTTTTGATTCGGCAATGTCCACAAGAGCCTTGGTTCTCCGGGGACTCTCACTCCTGATTGGATGAGGCAGCAGTGGGAACCACTGGCTCCTGCTGTCATGCACAGCCAGTGAGCCATTCAAGAGAGGGAAGGGACGGGGGCAGAGTCGTGGCTCTGTGTTTGAATGGACATGCAGAGCTGCGACTCAGGAGCATGCCTGCTCGGGTGCCCACATAGCAAGCTGGTTGCTATGGGGGCACCCAACAGGAAGGAGGAGCTAGGAGTGCCGCGGAGGACCTGAGAAGAGGGGGATCCGGGCTGCTCTGTGCAAAACCACTACATGGAACAGGTAAGTATGACATGTTTGTTATTTTTTTAAAAAACCCACAAGACTTTAGTATCACTTTACCAGATGGAGCACAAAAAATAAACATTCCCCAGTAAACTATTTGTAACCCCAGCACTTTCAATTTACAGTTTTTATTGCAGCTGGCTCCTGCTTTCTCAGTGCCACTTCCCTGAAGTTCTGGTCTTTACAGGAAAGATTTAACAGTGGCCAGTAGTCAGTCTGTTAGAATAGAAAGGTATTCCCTTGATCCCCTCCCCCACCTTTCTCCAAGCTATGTTATAAGGCTGTGTGTTTCTATTGATGTGCATAGTGTAGGGAAACAACTCTAATCCCTGCATGCAACAGTGGCTCCATAGGATGTTTCAAGAAAAGGGAGCCACTCTGAAACAGGAATCCCAGGGCAGCTTAAGCACATAAAAGGTATCACTTCAACTCCCAAATTTCTGCATTTATAAATATAAAAAAACTCCATGAGAAGGAGCTTGGAAATCATGAAGTATACTAAAACCCAACCAGCCGTTTAGCTGCATTATTTAGACTGAGAACAAAAGTGTGGTCATGTATGGGAGGCCCATAGATTAAGAGAGCCAGCACTTTACAAATTAAAGGCCAAAAGTACAGTTACAATACAAGACAAAAGGCTTAGGAGGACCCTATGGCTGTCATTGATGAGGTTTTTGTTTCGTTTTTAAAGCTGTAGGATCTGGGGTCCCATCCTGATGTGTGTTTCACTTTCTACTAAGTTATTAACCCTGTGGCAAGCATGTCAGATTTGCACACTGGCTGCACCTTAAAAATCAATTTAGAAATAACAGCTATCCTATTGGCAGCGTCACAGATTGAGTTTATGTATTGCTGGATCTATAGATTCTTATGCAGCCCCAGACAGACTCCACATGTGGCATTAGAAGTACTGTACATACCAGCAAGAGGGAAAGGAAGTAAAACCACCCAAAACTTTATTAAAACAGCAAAGGGAAGACTTCCTTGAGCTTGGTTCTTCAGTGAACAGTTACATTGAACTGCTTCTTTTCCTCTGTTTTTTTATCCTAGCTGTATCTGGGGTGCAAGTAAATCCTGGCCACAAATCATGGGGCTCCTAAAAGCATGCCACCAACACAGGCTAATCCACACACACTTTGGATGTAGAAGGACCTCCAGATACTGTGACCTTGAAATCCTCTCTACGTTCAGTGCCCTGTCTGCGGGGGGTATTCCACTAGAGAAAGTAATTTAAGTGAACTAGACCATAGCAAGATGCTGAAGTACATGACAACAGTGCACCAGCAAACGATTGGAATATATTGAGGTGTTCAGCACTCCAGAACACATCTACCATACCTGGGCAACAGGAACATGCTGAGAATGCTTTTTAAGACCAGGTGTATACGAGAATCTAACGATCATTTGCGGTTCCTCGCGGTGAGGGGAGCAGCCAGAGGACGTGTGTCAGAATTAAAAATCAGTATAGAAGCAGTTACTAGAAGAGGTGGATCAAGATGAACTGTAACAGAACAGGGTATGGCTATCCTTAGCCAGTAAAGTCTAGCTTCTGATTTGCTGACCTTACCTCTAGACCAGCCTTTCTCAACCTTTCTACCCTAAAGGAACTCTTGGAATATTTTACAGGTTTTAAAATAATTCATTGGGGGGGGGGGGGGGTCAATGATAAGAATGCATATGACAGCTATAAAGATCTCCCAAGTGGCATTGGATCAGGAATTATGCAGCGCCATCAGTCAGCCACTGCTCAAGAGGAAGCCTGGTTAAGAATGGCTGCTATAGACTGTGTATACACATAAAGGAAACATATATTCGGAATTAGTGAAGCTATAACAATAGGGTATTTTTTCAGAGCCTGTAGATACCTGCTTCCTCCATCTTACCTGCAGAATGTAGAAGCTGAATGTAGCAATGCCTAACCAGCTGTGCAAGCTGTACATATCTGGAATATTTTTCTTTTTTTTGTGGAACTGAAATACAGCAATGATCCCTGAAAAACAGAAACAAGTTGACACAAGTGTCAGTCAGGTACATTCACATGTCCCACCCACCCCTACATGGACCAAGCCATTGATGTATCAGCTTTGCTCCCTAAAAAAAAATCGCTTCAAGGTGACAATTTCTAGTTCTTGTACAAAAACTATTTCTGCATTTTGGATTACACAGGTCATGTCCCCAAAAGGGGTCCTTACTGCTTCAAACATAAAAATGGTTGGAGAAAACTACCCACTGTATAGCCGTGATGGGTTGCTCTTAGCTGGGCAATATTGTCATAGAAAGCAAGTGATACAAGCACTGTTGTCTTATTCCCTCTGGTGGATTCTTAGAGGCATGCATGTCTCTCACAAATCACTAAGTTTGGCAACAATAATGACACAGATGAACAGCCTAGCTTGGCTTGCCAAAGATATGACAGCAGTAAGAGATCTGTTCTTCAGCAAGTGGTATGGAACCCTGCTCCGTTCCATTTAGAACTAGGAGATATTTTTTGTGGTTAGAGCTACTCTTAACTTAAAATGTAAGTCCTCTGTCTCCTTGAGTCAATGTACAGAGTGGGTCCTCCTATTTGTACAGCCCACTTGGAAACACCAGTAGGACCCCCCATCCTTCTTACCCACTGTCTGTGACAGTACCATAGCACACAATAGTCTGTGGATTATTAAAGCACAATTCTCTTATCCTAAACCCTTTGACAAGGACCAGGGGGCACGCTTTACGTCTGGAGGAAAATAAATTTAATCTCCAAAACACGGAAAGGTTTCTTCACAGTGAGAGCTGTGAAAATGTGGAATAGACTCCCTCAAGAGTTGGTTCTGGGCAGCTCAGAGGATTGCTTTAAAAAAGTCCTGGATTCTTTCCTAGATACACAGAATATAACTGGATACTAACATTTATAGGTAAAGTTGATCCAGGGAATATCCGATTGCCTCTCGGGGGATCAGGAAGGAATTTTTTCTCCTGCAGGAGCAAATTGGATCATGCTTTGCTGGGTTATTTTGCCTTCCTCTGGATCAACTGTGGGTATAGGATTATAACTTTTCTTTCTTTTTTTTTTAATGGTTGAACTGGATGGACTCTTGTCTTTTTTCAGCCAGACTAACTATGTAACTTTGTAGTTATGTGCAGACACTAGTTTGTAGATTTGCAATGAAATATATTTTGCACTAGAGTACAATACTTGGCAGGGATGTATATTTCAGTAAGCTGTGTGTTCACATTTTTGGTCTATGATTACAAATGTTATCTTCTTTCCATCGTATTCGGTAACTAGCTATAACAAACATCTGAAATACGCACACCTAGAGCTGTGTAGCAGTTTATAAACTTTACTGCATTGGAAGGAGATTCCTGTTGGAAAGGATTACTGTCATCCTCGCCTAACAGGCAAGAATGACTAACAAAATAAAGATATCTGACCAAGTGAAAAAACTTTGACATCACAGATGATTAATGACCCTTACTGCTAAGCTATCCACAGCAGACTGGTAGTGTTATGCCATCTAGATTGTAGGGTATGCAGATGATTGCAGTTTTCTAGTAACTACAAAAGAGTTACAGCAAGTAGCAGATGAACTAGCAATAACTTATAATTACTCACCCACAAGAGAGATGATCATTGCCAGTATATGTAATGCTCCATGCAGTATCTTAGTTGCCCTCTTTGTCTCGTGTCTAAACACTCGATATACCAATAAAGCTGTGAAAGCAATGAAAGAGGCACATCATATATTAGTCAGTCATTACAACAGTTCCACTTAACCTACTAGAACTTTAAACACTGCTTTTCCATGACTATAATGTTATGCCTAGTGACCTTTTCATTCTCAGAACATGTAATAATCTGTTCCATCAGCCATTTTAAAAGTAGCCCTCCTTCCCATAAAACAAGCAGCCTAAGCAGACTAATCAGCACTATTACAGATAAGAAAGTACTGAACGTTATTGTAACAAGTTCATAACTAAAGCCCTCATCCCCATCTCTAAGCATTACCCCTGGCTTGTGATCCATGCCAAATGACATGCACAGATAGCAGGGGCTACTGTCTTGTGTTTTATCACAATAGAACAGAAGTGTCTTTGATGTGCGGGAGGTGATTGACAACGCTCATAACACAAGCCCCATTATAGTTTTTTTTTTTTTTTTTTAAAGTTCACTTTTTCTATAGGCAAGTTCACCTTTTCACCGAAAAAAAAAAAAAAAAAAAAAGTGGATGCACACCAAAAATCCTGAACATCCCTCCAGACCCCACTGCACATAGCGCCCGTGATGCCCAACATGACCGCAGTAACCAATGAGAAGTGCTTCTTTCTTCTGGGACACCTTACCACAGACATCTCAGATGAACTTCTCATTGGCCAGCATGGTCATGTAAGTTCACTGCAGCCCCCTCTTGACTAGTCATCCAGTCTGGGTTTACCTGGACAATGCCACAGCTGTGGTTTACATCAATCATTAGTGAAGCACCAGGTCTCTCCATCAGGAGGTGTTCAAAAGGTATGCGTCTATGATGGGGGAGGCCAGATGTGGATCTGCTAGCTCAACAGTAATTGGAAAATTCAACACAAAGTTGGAACTATGTTTCCAGGAAGCTGGCAGTGAATGCCGTGGTGGCGTCACAGGATCAGCTTGCCCTTGAGTCTTTGCTTTGCTGAAAGTTATTTTTTGGCTGCTTTGAAGGGTTGAAACCGATGGATTTTTTAATCATTCTCATACCTCTGGATTGGCCTTGGAGAGTTTGTTATGCCAATCTTACTCCATGGCCTCTACCAGATCGGCCACATCTGTTATTTCAAAGACCTACTTGTTGGTTGAAACCTTGATTCTAAAAGTCAGGGGTATTTCAGATTACATTATCCCAACTATAATTAAAGCTCACAAGTCTACTTTTTACAGGAGGAGTATGGTGAAATGTGGAAAACCTTTTTATTCTAGTATCTAGGAATTTCCCCACATGCTTTTTCAATGAGCTGTGTTCTACTTTCCTTCAACTGGGAGTAGACCAAAGATTCATAAAAGGGTCAGGTGTCTACCCTGTCCATTCTTTATCAAAATCCTCTGGTTAATAATTCACAGATTCATACAATCATATTCAAAGAATTGCACATAGAGCTCCCCCTGTTTGTCCCCCACTTCAACCACAGGATTTAAATCCAGTATTGTTGGTCTTACAAAGACCCCAGTTTGAATCTATTCCGACATTTCCTTAACTCTGTTATTCCATGAGGTAGCCTTTCTTGCAGCCATCATTTAAGGTAGAAGAATTTTGGTGTCATGTCTATGTATTGTAAGGAGCCTCATTTAATTTGTCAGAAGGACAAAGTTGCTTTCAGACAAAGGACCTAATTTTTCCCCCAAAAGTGGGCTCGGTCTTTCCCCTTATTGGGGATATTGGGTTATAGACCCTGTGACAGGAAGTAGTTCACCCCAGGAAACATTGCCTTGATCTGGTGGGGGTTGTCATGGTTTACCTTTCTTTCACTGTTAGACAGACCGAATTACCTTTTGTTATTCTACAGTGGGTATAGAAAAGAATCAACCCCCCCCCCCCCTTAAAATAATCGCATTTTGTTGCATTGCAGCCTGAAATGAAAACAGGCACAGTTTTTGTATTATCCATCTGTATTCATTCAGTGCAACTTATAACATTCAAGTGAAAGATATTCCACCATCATGTCAGAAAAGTCCAAAAAGAGGTTCTTCAAATTCCGGATCCACAATTTTTAGGAGGATTAGACAGTTTCCTGTACAGGCCTGCGAGGTAAAGTTCATTTTGCTGTTATAGCTCACTTCACTGGGGCAAAGAGTGTTTCTTGGGCATTTCATCTTCAAACCTCTGTCTCAAATCTGTAAGACTACGACCTGGTCTTTGGTACATACCATCTAAAAGTTGATATATCTACCTCTACAAATGCTAGTTTTGGTAAAACATTCTGTAATTGGCTATTTATTGCCATTGGTTTTCCTTGTTGGGCTGGTCTGAGTTAAGGTGTGCCTGCCCCTCAGTTTGCGCTGCTTTTCAACATCCCAAGGTTGCTTAATTATCAGTAGCCTATGCCCTTTAATTGGATATAGTAAAATAGGGGTTTTCTACTAACCATAAAATCCTTTTCTCCATTGAGAGACACAGCTCCCTCCCCTTATATGATATCATTTTCTCTTTGGACGGCTGGCTACAACTGGGGTAGTATGAGATGGGAGGGATTATAGTCACACAGGGGCTGGCCTTCAGTTGTTGTTTTTTTTATTTGCCAAGTGTCTATTTCTCCTGTAGATGGCAGTATATCACTAGGTTGCTTAATTATGATCAAGCGGTGTCCCTCAATGGACTTCAAAGTATTTTATGGGTAGTACAAAAAACTCTTTTTTTTTTCCCCCTGTGCAGGTTTAAGTATTATTACTATAAATGCAGCATTAAACTTAACCCCAAAGTCTACATAGCTTTAAGTAAAAAAAAAGTAAAACCAGGATCAGAAGGGACACACAGAAGAGGATTTTCAAGTGAACGCAGCTAATACCATGCACATTGCGCTGGCACTGAGTCCGGACCTTAAAGTAACAGAGAATTGCTTTCAGCTGACCAGAGAAAGATTTTGAAGTGTATGTAAACCTTTTATTTTTCAGTATGTTTGATATCATGCCTCACCAGATACTTATCTTCAAATCAAGTTGGAAAAAAAAGGTCAGATAATTATTAGATATGATCTTAGAAAGGTTATCTAGCATCTTAGAATTCACACAGCTATACACCTCTATAGATGAGTCAGTAATTTCCATCCTCATATTAGATTTATCTGTGTCCATTAATACTACACCAAACATTTTATCTGTGTCCATTAATACTACACCAACATTTTATTTTTTTAATTGTATTTTCTTCTTCTTAGGCTAAGAGGTAGTCTGACACCATATAAAAAATTCTAATTTTTAGTAAAGCAGACCTCCAGACAAACAAATTCAGATATGTATTCAGGAAGAATGTGTTTTTTTCAGTACAGCAAGTATTAATACTTGAGTTTTCTTTATTTTTACCCTTTTCATAATATGCTATATGATGGTACTCAACAGAAAAAGGGAGAGCCATCACCCTCAGCCAATCAAGGATCAATATAGTTGCAGACCCATTATGGTTGCAGCTTGCCATCATTCTAACAGAATGTCGTACCATCAGCTCCTGGAAGGTTACTAAGGAAGCAGAACAATTACAAATAATTTGGAAGGGAGTGTAAACTGCACATATGGAGGAAGCCTGTAGCTTTAAAATTAACATAGGCCATGTGTGATCATATATCAAATTACATCACTAGTGACCTCTAAAAAGAATGTGCATACACAGGACACCTTATATACGCATTGTCCGAGCTTCATTAAGTAGAGAAGCAAGGATAAAATTACAGCCTTGGATCTTGAACCATAAAAAAATTCAGCAATGGCAGTTCTCATATTTCTATCTTGACAGGTTCTCCTAAACATGTGGATAAACCCTCCTGAACCTTACAGGGAAATCATCAATGGCAATTCTTATATTTCTATCTTGACAGGTTCTCTTAAACATGTAGAAAATCAGCCAAGAAGGTGATCAGAATTAGTCTTTGCATAAGTATAACGTTGCATCTATGCAGGGCTCTTGGTCAGCAACTAATTGGTAGAATCCATGCAATGACACACTTGCGCGCTATTCCTGCACCATTCTAATTCTACAGTGCACTGAATAATCAGGTTTCAGGTCTCTAAGCTACAGTCAAGGAAAAATAACGTTCCTGTTCTGACAGAGAGGCGTGATTGTACTTCCAGACACAAAGATACAAGCTTTACAGATCCTTTTAAGCTTTATTAGATTCACAGAATGAACTTTGGAGAATGGCTGCTGAGTTTTTTCAGACCAGCCTCCAGTTCTGAGAGTGCACATCAATACCCGTTTTTGATTTAAAAACCAAACCCTAAAAGAAGGAGGGAGTGTTAAGGGCCAACTCCCCCCAAATACTATTTGTTTTGCTTGGTTGCTAACAAGATGAGCACCATGGTAATCATGCACACTAAAATATTTAAGTATTCTGAGCAAGCAGGAAAAACCCTTTAAAACAAGTTCTTATATCCATTAGCATTGTGAAGAAATTAAGACAAAACTTTTTTCTTAGTTTGTCTTAGAGTGGAGAGGGATTACGGTCTGTGTCCCTGTTAGGGATTCACCCTCTGTTTGTCCTGTTTACCATTATCATCAAAAGTGAAAGTTAAAAAAAAAACAAAAAAAACTTTGGGTTGTCCCCAGAAACGTTTAAGGGGAAATCCTCCAATGGGGACACCTGACATGGAGTATTTCCTCTAACTTCCTGTTCGGCCATGGGACAGGAAGTGAAGGGAAATCTCTGCAATGGGACACAGATGGCGAAAAAAAAATATGACAAGGGTTATAACCCTTCATTACTCTATCCAAAAAATTTTTTTTAAAGTTTTGCCTACAGTTGTACTTTAATTTTCAATGTTCACAACTCAGGCATGGAAATCCTAGCTCTTTCTCTGTTACTTTCTATTGTACCAGAATCTTGGCAGTCTAAAGGCCTTTCACTGTAAACAACCAGCGGGGGTTTCTAAGGCTCACCATACATGTTATCAAGCTGTATAATCAACTTTAGGTCTACCAAAAAGGAAGACCTACCTAAATTATACAATAAATATGTAGGCAATCAGGCAAGTTCATCCACTACATATTTGTTGGCAGATCTAAAAGATTGTACAATGATTTTTGTATCATGCATATACAGCTTAAAGCTGATAGTTATTTTTTGGGGGATACACCACTAAACACAGTTGTGTGTATTGGTTTGCATCCCATGAACTGCAGGTGGCTGTTGCTGATGAAAAAAAAAAAAAAAACCTTCCTGCAATTGCTCCTTCACAGCACTGCATACTGCCCTGAACAGCTGTCTTCTGGCGCTGTGAAGGTTAACAAAAGCTGCTGGGAGTAACATAAGTTAGCTCTGGCTGCCTTGTACTCTGAATGAGCAAAAGAGATGCTGTCATTCAACTCCTCCTCCATTCACAGAACGCAATGTGATAGTAAGAACACAAGTTCTATCAATGGAGATGAGGGAAGGAGTGGCCGGGCAGCCAGTCCAACTTATGCAAGTAGCAGAAACTTCTGGTAACCTCCACAACACACAGAAGACAGTCGTTCGGGGCAGTATCCAGCGGCTGTAAACAGACAAGTGCAGGAAGATATTTTTCATAAGCAGAAACCTAAAAGTAATGGGATACACACCAATACATTTAATTAATGTGCTTGCTGCTATATCCCAAAAAACAGATACACTTCGGCTTTAAGCTGTTCGATACCACTGAAACCAACTCTAGAGTTTTTGTTAAGATCTTTGAGAATGAATAACTTTACATTAAAAGCAGCTAGAGAGATTATGGACAGCTGGTCTTAAAGCACCTTTACTGTTTGTAAGGAATATGTAAATAGTTGAATGTCCATAGTCTGGGCACAAGTGCACTGTAAAGGTTCCCAACAAAAACTGAAATTTAATAGAAGAATTTCTTCCTCTCTTCAGTATACTCAATGGTGTTTATTTACTAAAGCTAGAGAGTGCAAAATCTGGTGCAACTCTGCATAGAAACCAATCAATTTCCAGGTTTTAGTGTCAAAGCTTAATTGAACAAACTGAGGTTAGAAGCTGATTGGCTATCATGCACCAGTTTCTAAAGTGCACCATCCTTAGTACATTTACCCCAATATGTGTTTAACAGTTTGCCAGAACACATGACAATTCAACCAACCAGCTTTACAATTAATCTGCTCTATTGAGAAAAAAAGATTCAATTGGGATTAGGAGTAACTCCGATAACAGAGAATGACACAGACACCATGAGAGATCACATATGTTACACTACACCCTGGACCTATGTAAAAAGAATTTGCATTACTAGAACAGGTTGGACATCATATGTACTTACCATCACCACATAGGAATACCATTCCTAGCACCATGCAAAGTGGGTGGACATTGAACTGCTCTGGTCCCTCCCATGAGAAGCCTCCTCTGTAACGGGACAGCCATGTTCCTGTGATGGCTAATACGGCTACCCCCACAATCTGAGACGTAGCCACCAGGTATGGCATCAAGCCTGTGTTCTGACGAGAAAGAGATTCCTCCATTGTAAAGAGAGAGGAGAAGCCTTACCTGTTAAAGTAATGTGACAACATTAGGCCAACAGTCTTGTCATCAATGCACATAGATCTCTATCAACGGAATATAAAACAGAACTTCTTACATTAATTTACATTCCTAAAAAAGGGATTTCCCATTGAATACCATATTATTTTGAAAAGTCACTACTAAGAAAAAGTACCAGAGAAAAAATAATCTGTGTGTCTATCCAACCAATAACTGTTTGGGGTCCATTGTAACAGGTCACAGCAGGGGTGTGTCCTTTCTTATATACTTTCTGCTAAAAGATGTCTCTTTGCCATCTCAGAAAGTTGGGGGTAAAAGTATGATATGTTTGTGCATGGCTACCTTTAGTAAGGTAGGCAAACAACCAATATTAACTCAAATCAAACCTATTCTAATAGAGCAGTGGTCTCCAAACTGCGGCCCCTTGTCTGCTTTTACCGGCCCCTTAGGGCATTATTCCCCCCACAGTCAGCAACTGTGACAATGGGGCACTAGTCCTCTCACAGACATCAATGATGGACCACAATACCTCCTACTGACACCAATGATGGGACACTATTCTTCCCACTGATACCAATGATGGGGCACTATTCCTTCCACTGACACCAATGATGGGGCACTATTCCTTCCACTGACACCAATGATGGGGCACTATTCCTCCCACTGATACCAATGATGGGGCACTATTCCTTCCACTGACACCAATGATGGGGCACTATTCCTCCCACTGACACCAATGATGGGGCACTATTCCTCCCACTGATACCAATGATGGGGCACTATTCCTCTACATAATACCAATGATGGATCTCTATTTCTCCCACTGACCCCAACAACAAAGCACTATTACTCCCAGTAATACCATTGATGGGGGGACTATTTCTGTCAATGACACCAATGAAGGGGCACCATTACTCCCCCTAACCTCCTAATACCAATGATGGGGCACTATTCCTCCCATTGACACCAATGATGGGGCAATATTCCTCTCACTAGTACCAATGATGGGGCACTATTCCTCCCATTGACACCAATGATGAGGCACTATTACTCCCCCTAATGCCAATGATTATTATTATACAGTATTTATAAAGCGCCAATGGTTTGCTCAGCGCTGTACATTACAAAGGGGGACAGAACATGTGACAGAACAATACCAATACAATGCAAAACATGAGGGGATCGAGGGCCCTGCTCTTTCGAGCTTACAATCTAGGAGGATGGGGCACTATTACTCCCCCTAATACCAATGATGGGGCACTATTACTCCCCTAATACCAATGATGGGGCACTATTACTTACTCCCCTATGGGGCACTTACTCCCCATACCAATGATGGGCACTATTACTCCCCCCTAATACCAATGATGGGGCACTATTACTCCCCCTAATACCAATGATGGGGCACTATTACTCCCCCTAATACCAATGATGGGGCACTATTACTCCCCCTAATACCAATGATGGGGCACTATTACTCCTCCTAATACCAATGATGGGCACTATTACTCCCCCTAATACCAATGATGGGGCACTATTACTCCCCCTAATACCAATGATGGGCACTATTCCTCCCACTAATACCAATGATGGGGCACTATTACTCCCCCTAATACCAATGATGGGGCACTATTACTCTCCTTAGGGGAGCAATGATGGGGCACCATTACTCTCCCTAATACCAATGATAGGGCACTCTCATTGACACCCAATGGTAGGGCACTATTCCTTCTATTGATACCAACTAAGGGGCACAATTACTCCCCCTAATACCAATGATGGGCACTATTACTCTCCCTAATACCAATGATGGGCACTATTACTCCTCCTAATACCAATGATGGGCACTATTACTCCCCCTAATACCAATGATGGGCACTATTACTCCTCCTAATACCAATGATGGGCACTATTACTCCCCCTAATACCAATGATGGGCACTATTACTCCTCCTAATACCAATGATGGGCACTATTACTCCTCCTAATACCAATGATGGGCACTATTACTCCTCCTAATACCAATGTTGGGCACTATTACTCCTCCTAATACCAATGATGGGGCAGCATTCCTCCCATTGATACCAATGATGGGCACTATTACTCCCCCTAATACCAATGATGGGCACTACTACTCCTCCTAATACCAATGATGGGCACTATTACTCCCCCTAATACCAATGATGGGCACTATTACTCCTCCTAATACCAATGATGGGCACTATTACTCCTCCTAATACCAATGTTGGGCACTATTACTCCTCCTAATACCAATGATGGGGCAGCATTCCTCCCATTGATACCAATGATGGGCACTATTACTCCCCCTAATACCAATGATGGGCACTATTACTCCTCCTAATACCAATGATGGGCACTATTACTCCCCCTAATACCAATGATGGGCACTATTACTCCTCCTAATACCAATGATGGGCACTATTACTCCTCCTAATACCAATGATGGGCACTATTACTCCTCCTAATACCAATGATGGGGCAGCATTCCTCCCATTGATACCAATGATGGGCACTATTACTCCCCCTAATACTAATGATGGGGCATGGTTTACTCTCACTGATGCCAAGACACTTTCTTCTCCCACTAGTTACAGTCCAGCCCCCCTAAAGTTTGAAGGACAGTAATCTGGCCCTTTGTTTAGGTTTGGAGATCCCTGTAATGAAGCAAAATAAAACCTCAGAAAGCCATCAATCTTAGAGCTGGTTCACACAGGTGTGATTTGTCATGCAACTTGATGACTCCAAATTGCATGACATGTGGCACCCCATTACCGGCAATAGAACCACTCAAATCGGTGCAACTCCAACTTTGCGGTGCAGCACCGAATCTAAAAAAAGGTTCCTGCACTATTTCTGGCTATTTCTAGTGTGACTTGCATAGACATCTGTACATGAACTTGCACAGATGTCAGGAAAGCCGCACAAGAAATCGCACTGACAGGTGGCTTTGAAATCGCGAAATAGCATGATTTCAAAGCCGCATTCAGTTTGAACCAGGGCTTATTCTCACAATGAGGAGACTATTCCTTCGCTTTATAAAAATCCAAGAATTTCAGTGATTACAGGAAAAAAAAAAAACTAAGCTAGTTGCTCAGCATGTCAAACAGATACTTGGGAGCACTACCCTGCATAGATAAAATTGATGTTAATGTGGAAATGCTGTGACGTTATGAAGGAAACAGGCAAATACCCCCTCAATGTGCCTTATGCTGGCTACATGTTAAAATTGTCTGAAAAAATATTGGACATTTATCAGATTATCTGCTTTTTAAACATGCCCCATGAAATGAGATATGGTTTAGCATTTAGGCCGATCACACTCTTTACTGTGGAGGCAAATGTGTAAATATTTACCCATCAAACAACAAAATCCTCAGTTTGCAGCAACTGCCATACAGACAGCATGGAAGGCAAGCCGGAAGCAGATTTTCCTTTTACAAAACCCACTCTTCCAAGACAAGGGTGTCTTTTTCCTGTGTGATGCATATCTGTGATGATCTTATTAGTGCCCTGCTGAACACAGTGTCTCTGTCACTGATGAGGTTAAATAGGAGAGTGCAGGGAGATGACGCAGGTAGAACAACGCTGGAGGACAATGTGTCTGTCAGCGGAGTACACCAGCCCCATGTGTGGGATAAACTAATTACATCTCCCCTATATTGCATTCCCATTTATTAACAAGCAGGGCAGATGGAAGGTGGCAGCACCCCAAGGCAGCAAGAAACATTCAGCAGGCCCAGCCAGAGCGCTTTATGTAAATGGGAGCAATCTATTAAATGTGATTCTACGATTGCTGCAGGTGTGCTGGAGTATCCAGGTGTTAGAAAATGGTGCGGTAATTCCATTGGCTGTGCTACAGCTCATTTCTGGGACAAAAGCAAAATTAACACCACTGTCCACTGTCACGGACATCTAGCCGATTCATTACCCTTAACTAGACCCTATAATCACAGCATGCAATATCAACATTATTTATTATTTATTTCAGGTTCTTTTATATCGCCGTCAATTTACACAGCACTTTACATATATATTGTACATTCACATCAGTCCATAACCCTCAAGGGGCGTACAATCTAAGGTCCCTAACCTCATTCATACATACACATACTAGGGACAATTTAGACAGGATCCAATTAGCCCAACAGCATGTCTTTGGAGTGTGGGAGGAAACTGGAGTACCAAGAGGAAACCCACGCAGGCACAGGGAGAACATGAAAAAAACTCTAGGCAGATGGTGCTGTGGTTGGGATTCAAACCAACGACCTTAGTACTGCCAGGTGGAAGTGCTAACCATTAGCCACTATGCTGCCCATTACCCACTATGCTGCCCATTGTCATTACCAACTGTGCCACCCACTGTGCTGTCCATTACCCACTGTGCTGCCCATTGCCATTACCCACTGTGCCGTCCATTACCCACTATGCTGCCCATTGCCATTACCCATGTGCCGTCCATTACCCACTATGCTGCCCATTGCCATTACCCACTGTGCCATCCATTACCCACTATGCTGCCCATTGCCATTACTCACTGTGCCGTCCATTACCCACTATGCTGCCCATTGCCATTACCCACTGTGCCCATTGCCCATTGCCATTACCACTGTGCCGTCCATTTACCCACTATGCTGCCCATTGCCATTACTCACTGTGCCGTCCATTACCCACATTACTCACTGTGCCGTCCATTACCCACTGTGCCGTCCATTACCATGCTACCATTACCCACTGTGCTGACCATTACCCACTGTGCTGCAACCCATGTGCTGCATAAACCTTAAAGTGGAACTTTGGTCAGAAAATTAAGTCCAGCTTGATCACTTCAGGATGACCCCTTTTGCAGAGGTATAGCTTTGTAATACATTAAAAAAACCATTAAAAAAGTGCCTACACTGTTTAGAATCCAATAATACACTGTCTTACCCTGCTCTGCCGATCTGCTGACATCTATCTATTAT